TTGAATCGGCTTGCTTTCAAAGCGCTATTTAAAGCGCCCTTCTTTCTCCACGCTAGCTGTTGTCACCCTGTTGATGACGTCAGCAATGCGGTTTAGTCGAGCGCGGTTTTGACGGGTCACGGCTCTTGCAGGGTGGGAGCCATCCCTCAAGCCTGGCCTTCCTCCTCCCTTGTCGGCGGGGCCAGGAGAAAGAAAAGGGCAGCTTGGGGAAGTCTTAACCCTAACCCTATCCCCTTGCTTGTTTTCTGTTTTGATTTCCTTAGGCTGAAGAAGACTCTCATATGGAGGGAGTGGTACCTATCCCACTGGAAACCAGGGATGGAGAAGAAGAGGTCGAACGGGTCATCCAGGCCGTGATAGACAATGTCTTCTGGCAGATGTCTTTGGATAGGAAGACCACCGCTTTGAAAGAGCTCCAGGGCCACATATGGAGAGCGGCCTACGAAAATGGCCGCCTGAAGGGAGAGTGAGTATCACTGCGCCATTTGATGTTCACTGCTTAGCGGACACGATTAGCATCAGCTTCCAGTGATGACTTAAAATATTGGTGAGGAAAGCTGTTTCATTGCCTCTTCAACAATTCTGTCTCCATCCCTTGCCTGGCCCATTGCAGGTTCTTTAAGGACGTCGTTCCCGCAGTGAAAAAGTGGAAAGAAGCAGGAAGAAAGGTTTATATTTATTCCTCTGGGAGCGTGGAGGCTCAAAAGCTTCTATTCGGGAATTCTACAGAAGGTGATATTTTAGAGGTAAGTATAGAGTCTAAATGTCTAGGGAGATTCTCAATCATCCAGGTCATGGTTGTCCCAAAGGTGCTTTAAAAAAAAAAAAGAGAGAGAGACTACTGGACTTGTTGTTTTTTTCCTTTGGAAACATTTCACTTCTCGCCCAAGAAGCTTCTTCAGTTCTGAATGAATGGTGGGGAATGGAAGGATTTATATTCTTCGCAGCCAGCTGGTCGTTAGCACTCTGAAGATCTGTCTTTAGGTCTCTGAGGGTATTGAGGCCACTTGTAAATTTATCTTGATAAATCTTGATTCAGGGTAACCTTAATCAGAGTGGGTGTGGAACAGAGACTGGTGTCAGAGTTCCAAATAACATCCAAAATTAAATCAAGAGTCCATACAGTCAAACAGATGATCCAGATGCTCACAGAGATGCTCTTCCAGGGTTTCCCTGCCAAAACTAGTAGCACTTTCTGCCTCTACAACAACAGTAATATCACAAAGGCAGCCATTGTGGTATAGTCCTATGGACTAGAACCATAGGAATCCCAAGTTTCTAGTTCAAGGGTGTCAAACTCGATTTCATTGAGGGCCGCATCAGGGTTGTGTTTGACCTCGGGAGGCCGGCTGGGCGTGGCCAGCTTGACATCACTGGTGTCAGAGGCCCCTGTGGTGTCCCAAGTGCTAACGCAGGACTTCCCTCAGACCCTCCCTCTCTGTCGTTATAATCTTCCTTCCTTCCTTTTCCTCTTCTTCCTTCCCTCTTCATTCTCCTTTCTTCTTCCTTCCCCTCTTTCCTTCTTTTTCCTTCCTTGCCTTCTTCTTTTTCTTTGTCTTTCCTCTTTTCCCTTTCTCCTTTCCTGTCCCTTCTTGCGTGCTCAAAATGTTTTGCTTTTAGTTTGTTTTGCTAGACCTCTGCCAGTGAAAACGGAACTCAGGCCTCGTTTTCTGCTGAGACGGCCTCCTGCAACCGCACAACGCCCCCCCCCCCCAGCTCCATTTTTGCTGGCAGAGGAGCTGCAGGAGGCCGTTGCGGCCAAAAACGGGGCCTAGGAGGCCACGCACAGCCCTCCCAAGCTCTGTTTTTGCTGGCAAAGGCCCTGTGGGCCAGTCCTTTCCAGGGTGGTACGGCAGGCCAGATCTAAGTATCCCGCAGGCCGGATCCGGCCCACGAGCCTTGAGTTTGACACCCCTGCTCTAGTCTGTCCTCAGCCATAAAAATTCCTCGACTGATTTTGGGTGAGTCTTAGTGTTGCTTACCTCAAGAGGATTGTTGGGGGAATAAAACTAAGAACTAGGTGTTCTTTTTGTAATATTTCATCCAGTTTTGGTCACCACAGTATAAAAAAAGGATGTGGAGACTCTAGAAAGAGTGCAGAGAAGAGCAACAAAGATGATTAGGGGACTGGAGACTAAAACATATGAAGAACGGGTTGCAGGAACTGGGTATGTC